AAGAAACAGATGTTCTCTCTATGTTGGACTTCCATCCCCACTCTTCAAGACCCACCCAGAATTCTGAGTAACGCATATCTCAGTTAATACCTGCACATACATAATAACCCCACACAAACAACATGAGACCAGATCCTACACAACTGAACAGTACATGACATGACATAACATGACATAACAGGTTATACTGCACTGCATTGACAGACCGCAAAAGAATATAGAATGAACGAATGTATCACCTTTTTAAACTCGGTATCAGACGGTGTCCTTTTCAGCTGCATCTCTGCAGCTGCTTCAATGGAGCTTCTTTTAAGCCTTCCTTTCGGTCCTTCCGCAATTAAAAGGTTGATCACAATACTCCTATTATTATAGTCATACCCAAACAAAACTTCCCATTTAACCATATATTAATAATAATACTAATTACAAGAGTAAATTACATTTTTGGTCCTTGAGTATAGCTGGTTTTTTCAGTTTTGGCCCCATAAAGTTTCTCTTGCAAAATTGGTACTTATTTGAGGTTTTGTAGCATTTTTGGGATGAAAACTGCCAAAATGTGTTATACCGAGGGACCAAAGATGTAAATTAGCATAAAGTAATAGAAATAATTACCTGAAATCATCATATTGAGGGTGATCTGGGGATGATTTGGACACAAAGACACCGTTTATGTTAACAGCAAGTTGAGTTAAGGTTTTGAGAAGCTCTTCTTGAGGAGCATCTGCTGCTGCTGCTGCAGCTCTCGCCTCTCTTGTCCCCTTCCTGAGTGTGTTTTCAGACACTGCCATGTCACGCAATCTTTGACGAATTTGGTTCAAGCTGTTCATAATAATAATTAAAAAAAAAACCATGTAAAGCTTTCTATTATTTAGTATGGAAAAATAATAATAAGGAAGAACACACCTGCAAACTTTGTAAGCTTGGAAAAGTTTCTGAAGGGCTTTTGGTAAAGCCTCTCGGGTTTCATCCAGCATCACACCCTTAGAAGGTTGTACAATTGGAGGTTTTGTTTCAATATTATTTTTATTATTATTATTTAATATAGGCCTTTTATCACCAATCCCATGCTTGGAGCTTTTTGGAAATAAAACCTCAATAATTTGTGGTTCCACACGATCCCAAATCTTTTTTTGTTCCTCAACAATATGTGGATATTCTTTTATAAATAAATCATCTCTAGCCTCTCTAAATTTCCAATCCCTGAAGGAATCTCTTCTTGCACCAAATTCATCCAATATTGTTTTCATCATTTCACTGATGGAAGATTGTTTTGGTAGCTGTGATTCACGAAAAATGTGACTTTTGCTAAATTCAAGCATTACATAGTTTCTAAGTAAAACCTCTTTTCCTGCATCTTTATTGTATTTCACTTTACTTTTTGCTACCCATAATCCTTGTACTAATTGGGCGTGAGTTTGAAGGACTTTCAACATTTCTTCCTCACTACAATCTGGAGCTATGTGTTTAAATACATTGAATCTTACTGGAGCCCCCTATTCAAAACCACAAATAAATACTCAATCACCTTTTTTTTATAATTAAATTTATATATAACCTTTTTCTAAAAGTGGGGAACACTAAGTCACTAACCTCAAGAAGCCGCTTCTTATAACGCTCTTCTAATGGAATTTGAACCAAAGAACTGAAACATCATAAACCAATAAAAGAAACTTTAGAACACTTTTTCACAAGTTTTTAGAATTATACAACTACAATTACACATAAAAAAAAAAAAAAATAGAAAAGAGCACATGCCTCACAGATGGGCGTTTAGGTCTAACACTAGTGGCAGGACACAAGGAGTCAATATAATCAGACCTGTAATTACAATTTGCAAACAATATTAAATAAAACAAACTGTGAAACTGAAATGCAGTTTCTGATTAAATAGGATAAAATGACTCGAATAAGGATTAAGTTGAGTTACATACTGATTCATGGAAAACTTTATTTGAGCATCTTGTGTTTGAGAATCTTGGCTTTTAACCATGTTTTGTAGGCATTTATTTGACAATTGACTAGCCTCACCATGGTACTTGAGGGGAATCCACTCCTGAAGAAGATAATTCATGATACATAAAGATGAAAAATATATTATATGTGCAGAATTACATGAAAGGTGAGTGAAAGGATGTTTTGCTTTTTTGTATTTTGCAACTAGATCAATATATAAATCAAGGGAAAAGCATAATAGCAATAAAGATGTAAAAGTAAAGATCTAATACCTCCTCTTTAATACCACCATTTTGCTCAATTGGAACCCCTGGCACCTTGCTCTGTATAATTAACATTAAATAATCAGAAATTAAACCTCATAAAGGGTATATCAAAGACATATTTTAGTGTAACCTTCAATTAGTCAACCATTAGGTCATTTTCCATTGAAAACAATTCTCATACAACCATGATTATAACTTGTATGAATGTTTCATACTAGAACTACAGAGACTGGATGAGATTTTAAGAGATCTAAGAGATACTGAACCTGTTTCTTGGGTTGTTTTATAGTTTTTTCATCCTTGATGTCTTCTGAATCAATCATGTTTGTGTCAGCATGAGCTGTGTTCATCTTCTTCAATGGCTTAAGATGTTGCATTGATGGCCGGAGTTGCACAACTGCATTAACAGTATTGAGGTGCAACTGCAAAAGAAATTGAAAAAAAAAAGTACTAAAACAATTTGCATCAATTGTCGAAGAAACAAGACATTAGGGGAAAATTTTGCATTAAAATGAACAGAACACATACCTCATTGCCCATCAGAATCCCTACAGCATAACCATTTGCTATTGGTGGCTTCCATGAAGTTGATAATATCTAAAATTGATTGAAAACATCAGATTGTTGCATACAGCTTTTGACCTTTACCACTATAGGCTATAGAGAAATTGAAACAGAGACAGACCTGCTTTTTCATTGCTTTGTCTGTTACATCAGGATCAAAATTTTCAGAATTAACTTGAACAGACATTTCAACCTCAACTTCAGCGGTTCCTGGTTTCAATCTAACCTTCTCACACCTGTCATCAAGTTCGTATGGCCTCCAGCGTTGCCTTAAGGGATATTGCAAGACGTAGAGCTGTAGAAAGTAGAAAATCATCATTAAACACTCATGTGTCTCGATAGCCTAATATCCTCCTACAATGGGTGTGAATATCCAAAATTCGTCATTTGTAAGAAATTATGATACAAGCCGATAACATAACTCTGATTTGTGGAGATATAAAACGGATTCGTAAAAGAATTACAAAGTAAGTAGATGGTTAACCTTGGAATTGGCATCAGCCGAAGAATTAAAGTAAACATCAATTTCTCGAACAACATGATCTTCTTCATCTTGTTGATCATTGTCTATTTCCATCTCGGTCGCATCAGTATCCATTGTCATATCACCATTATCATCATGAGAAGGAGGAACAGTGTGCGAGGGCTTTTCAATTTCAGCCTTGGAGTCTACCGTTGCGATTGGCGGTGGTGTTGGCGGCGGCGGTTTTAAATCTTCTAACTCCACCTTAGGAACAGTGACTGGATTCGATACGGAAGAAGGAACCGGTGCTTCTGGTTCCCGTTTGGGTTTTAACTTGGAGTTCTTGGGAGCGAACCTTGTGGTCTTCGTCGCCGGTGCCTTCGACGGACCGTCGAGGTCGCCGAAGCCGAAATCCATGGCGTGGGAAGAAGATCGTGGTGGTGTACGGAATAATGAATTATATTAATACGGTGGTGTGGTGGTGGTGTGGGGTTTAAAACTGAAAATGATGTTTATATACACCAGTTGCCACCTAGGGTTTTGTTAGTTTTCAATTTTCACACCAAAATTTGCTTGCTTAAGCGTAGCCATTATTTTACGATATTTACAAATGAAAATTGACCATGTCACTTTTTAAGATTATAAAAAGACAAAAATGCAAAAATGATCCCTACGGTTTGTATTTTTTGTGGATATGGTCCAAACTTTTTGAAAATTGGATTTTTTGTCCTTACTAAGAGGTTTGTGTGTGGAACGGATCCCTGAAGTTAATAATCATTTGTTTTTTGTTGTTAAACCCCTCACGTGCATTGCATACGAGGGCATAAATATCTTTTTACTCGATGGATCATTTTTGCAATTCCTAAAATAAACCCAATTGTGACCATATTAACGTCATATTACACAACAAATATTTTAGTTACCTCTTCCACTTCCATCTTATTCTTCATTCATTGTGAACGAAAAAAACCTTAATCAAGATTTGGTCAAATGTGTATACTTGTTATTGTTTTTCAGCTGTGAATGGTGTTCGTAATGTAGGCGATTAGGCCAGAAGGCGAGACATATGACATCACAAATGAATATGGTTGGTTTCACTTATCCTCTGTTTACGACATTTTCTTGAGTTTCTTAATGATCTGAAGAACAAAGTCAAAAATACAAACATCTAACAATTTTTTATCTAATGTTTTTTTGTATCTTGTAGAGCGTGTACCAACAATGTTCACCATAAAGCTACACCATGGTGGAAATTTTACCAAGCTTCCAAACACGAAATTTATTAAAGGTGAAGTGCAGTCAATTGATTTATTAGACATTGATGAGTTCTCAGTTCTGAACTAGACGCAATGATGCTAGAGCTAGGTTACTCCGTACCCCCAGTAATATATTACCATTTTAGGATTCCTAATGAAAACTTGGATTTTGGTCTTAGAGCTTTAAGGAATGATAATGATGTCTTGAATTTGGCTCAATATATTGGAGATAACAAGGTCATTAAAGTGTATATAGAACATGGATAAACTAATTTGATGACCTATTTTATGTCTCCAAAAGGAAAGCAAAAAGTTATTATTAAGGAGCTTTGTGATGATGATCTTCCAAAAGAAGAAAACGTACCTCAAGTACTAGCAAAGGATAAAACCCCAATAATAGATGAAACTAATGATCAAACATAGTTGGCAGGGTATATGTCCTTGATACTCTTTGACAAAGTCCTTCCACAAGTTTCACCAAAGTATAGAAGAAATAGAATGGTAAACTCAACAATTGGTCAAAGTTCTTGTGCCAAAAAGCTTCATTTAGTTGAATTGGATGATGTAGTAGAAGATCAAGGTGGTGATCATGCTAATTTGGATGATGTAGTACAAGATCAGGGTGGTGAGAATCCTAACATGGATGATGTGGTACAAGATCAAGGTGGTGAGCATGCTAACATGGATGATGTGGTACAAGATCAAGGTGGTGAGCATGCTAACTTTGATTATGATGACTTTCATTATGAAAACTTTAATCATGATCACTTTGATCCTTTTGGTGGAGATCATTATCAACAACCATAAAATAAGAATGTTGAAGACCATCACTCTGAACATGAGAAGTTTGCTGACAGTGATGATCTTGGGCAACAATCAGAAGAACGGTACAATGAACTTGTTGATGATGAAAACAATGTATCAGAAGTGGAGGTATATATGACTGAATTTAACCTCAATCTTGATAGAGATGATGGTTTTGTTCAAATGGATAGGTTTCATAATGGGGTTGGGACAAATAATAAAAAATAAGGACATAAAAGTCATTGACAATGATAGATGGGATTCTTTGGATGAAGGGTCAGATGATGAGAGGAAAAGAATATGTGTTCTTGAGAATTTGGCTAAGGAGAAAAGATGCAATCTTGGCAATGTCCATAAGGCCAGTTTTTATGTTGCGCAAAAGTTTAAATCAAAGAAAGATTTGAAAGAAAAAATTGACATGCACGCATTAGAAACTAGGAGGAATTTGTATTATAAGAAGAAAGAAAAACTTAGACTTCGAGCATTGTATATAGGAGTACTCCCTGTCATGAATGTAAGTGGGGTGGTAGGCCTTAATACCAAAAGTAAAAGCAAGGACAAAGAGGTAAATTCAGATAAAGTAAACTGTAGTTGGTTCCTTCATACTTCTAGGTCAAACACAGAATCTCCCTGGTTTGTAAGGACATTAAATTACAACCATACTTGCCTTCAAATCAGGAAGATTAGAGCTTGCACTGCTACTTTTATATCCAAGCGAATCATGGACCAAATTGACATGAATCCAAGGACTCCTCTTCGAGCATTGCAGTAACAAATTCAAAAGGACTTCGAGGTTGGTTTTTCTATTGACAAAGTATTCAGGGCCAAGGCTATTGCAACTAAGATTGTGGAAGGTGATTATACGAAACAATATGAGGTCTTGAAGGACTATTTTCTTGAATTGCAAGCAACCAATGTTGAGATAACTATCAATATTGATGTTTACAGTGAACATAACCCATCAAACCCAACTAGGAGGTTTAAAAGAATCTACTGAAACATCCCCAAATTCATGACCAAAAATTTCATTTTTAAATCATAAATAAATCTTAGCTATTAAAATCATTTCATCAAAAACATGAGTCATAGTATCTCAAAATATCATAAACGATATATCCATATCAAAACATATGTCAAATATATCATAGTAAACATCCCATGCTAAAACATCATGGTGTGTGCAATGCAGTCATCCCGAGCTTTTCCCTTTGCTACCGGTAGAGTGGGTGAATACTCGACACATCAATAGGGTCTTGTGCTTCAGGAACTGTCCTTCGAGGACCCATTTTTCCTGAAATAACCAACAACAAACAAAACTAACCAAGAAAACCAAGAGATTAAATATCAAATCAAAAAAGAAACTGGTCGCCCAGATTCCATGTCGTGGGTTTCAACTCCATGTCATGGAACCAGTTCGTGTCGTGAATCTGGATCGGTCCAAATATGACCAAAACTAACCAACAATAGCACTTGGGGTTTGTTAATTTCATCAATCTAAGGCCTTATATCGCACATGAAGTGGGAAATTGTTAATCAAACTACTCAATTTTGGGTATTTCATCTCTAAATAAACCCTAACCACCAAATGCATAAAATGAGAAGAAAGTTATGAGATTAGTGGATGTAATGCTTACCAATGTTGTTATGAGACAAAGAATGCAAGAAATCGTGGAAGAAAATGACTGAAAATCGGATGTGGGGCTATTGTTCTTCGTCCGTACATGTGGAGAGTAAACAAATGGGGATGGTCAAAGGGTTTAGTGTAAACTGGTCCCCCCCCTGATGACTTTTTAAAGTCCATGTCATGTATTGCAAGGCCACTTCGTAGGCTTATTAGCTGGGCTTAGAATGATCGGGCTAATTGAATTCACCACGAAGTGGCTTTTGGGCCACGAGGTGGTGTCGAAGTTTTACACATAAAATGTCATTTTTCTATTAAAAAAAAAAAAAACTCAATTTATTTTACCACTCAGTTTTTAAGGACCCCACACTTGATTTTCACCAATTTCTAAAGTAATTAAAATGACTAGATGATTAATTATCCTAAAAATCAACTAAAATGAAAAAATGAAAAGAAATCGCAAACCAAGCTCGGGGTGCCTCCCGAGAAGCGCTTCTTTTTATTGGAGTCATGAGTTGGACTCCATGCCACCTCACGTTGAACTTGTCTGAGTGTCCCCCACCATTTGTATCTTTTGTTCCTTCCACCTTCTTTTGTACGCTTAAACTCATCTAATATATGCCTTTTTAGAATTTTCTTTTTTAACCCTTGCATCATTCTCTTCAATCTTCCTCTTAATTCCCTTATTTTCCACCGGATGAGGTTTTGCTTTTTCTTCATTTTTTAGCTCCATGGGCACCATATGCTTATCCATGGTTAATCTATTTTTATTGGAAGTAACTTTGTCCTCATCACTTGATACCATGTCTTCAATTTCCTCACTCACCCAAGATGTTGGTGTTTTATAAGCAATCACTTCAAAAGCAAGTGGAACAGATGCTCTTGGTTTGGTGCGTTTAACTTGTTGAATCTCTTTCTCCATTAATTTTTCCAATTCTTCAAGTTCATTTTCTTCGTCGATATTGAAATCTTCACTTTGAACAGCATTCCCTTGAAAACCATCTTCTATTCCAAAAGCAGCTTCATCATCTCCAACTCTCAAAGTAAGCTTGGATTCGTGAATGTCAACCAGGGCTCAAGCAGTATTAAGTAGAAGGTGACCAAGAATGATTGGGACATTGGCATCTTCTTTCATATCTAAAATGACAAAATTAATTGGAAACATGAATTTCCTAATTTTTACTTAGATATCTTCCATAATGCCCTTTGGATGAGTCACTGACCGGTTAGCCATGTGAATTGTCATTCTTGTAGCCTACAAATCCGGAAGATTTAGCTTTTGGTAGAACGAAAAAGACATTAGATTTATGCTAGCTCCAGAATCAGCTAGAGCATAAGTATTCAAATTATTCCCAAACTCACATGGAAGAGTAAGGCGTCCAAGATCTCTCGTCTTCTTTCGTAACTCTCCCATAATCACTTTAGAACTCTGCTCACTAAGAATTACCTTGGAATTATTCCCTGACTGTTGGCGAGTATTGATTAAATCTTGTAAAAACTTGGCATATTCGAGAACTTTAGATAATGAATCAATGAAAGGATTATTTATTGGAATACCCTTCACTTGTTGCATAAACTTCAAATGCTCTTGCTCTAGTGGATGGATATTAGCTCGTGACGGGAACGGAAGCGGAGGACGATAAGCTTACACATTATCAAAGCTTTTCTTATCAGACCCTGCCCACGTCGTGGGCTTTGAATTCCTACATCGCGGGTTCAGTGCTTCAGCAACAATTTTTTCTTCTAATCGTGACTTCTTCGAGCTTGGTTCGGTCTGAGATGGATCGACTTTTAGTGCTTCAAGGAACTTAGAGATGGCATCCTCTTCGGTTTCTATTATCATTACATGTGATTGAGGCTTTGTCTCGGAAATCTTTGGAGATAATTTTTCTTGTACAAAAGTAATTAGTTTTTTTTTCTTTTCTTTAATTCTCCAAGCCTCCAAAGTTCAATATTTTATCGCTTTTAATCCTTGTTCTTCAAGAATGCTCATTTTAGCTACAAAATACAATTTTAATCTTATAAGTACCAGTTACCCATGCAAATAACTAAAATATTAATCAAAATGATTTAAAATATTACCTAAAAATATGTATAAATATGACAATATCAAAATTCCAGTTCAGTTCTTCGGTTTTTTTCTCATCCATACTAATAAATACCGCCAAAACTCTTAACATATATTGGAAAAGACAATAATTTAAGCCCAAAGTCATATATGTTAATTATTTTAAAAATTTTACCAATCAAACACATAATATTATCTAAATGCTTTTAAATCCAAATCCATCTACATCCAAAACTCTTGTAGACATCCAAAGCTGCATACAAAGAATCCAACAACCAAATGCCCTCATTTGCATAGCTTTTTATTTTATTTTATTTTATTGAGGCCTATAAGTAAGCTTTATTAAAAACTTTGCTATTGTCAAGAGAATTTGAGCTTTATAATTTCATGATCACGCATAAAAATGATTAGTGAAAGATTCTCTATTGTTGATACAACAATTTTATGAGTTAAAACAATAAAAAAATCATCTTATAGTCTTAATTTGAAACTTTCTCATTGTTCTTTAAGCCTATGAATTCATTTGTTTTCCCATATTACATGTTGCTTCTTATATGTAATTCATGATTAAATTTAGATAAAGCATCCATTGTATTTTCATCTATTTTCATCAATCTACACGTGAATCCATTTAGGAAATGGTTAAGTAGTTTTAACATTTGCTTCAGAGGGTTATATTTTCTCATGCATGATGATGGATTTAGAACAAATAATTTGTACATATGTTTATATATAAGAGAGGGTTATATTTTCTCATGCATGATGATGGATTTAGAACAAATAATTTGTACATATGTTTATATATAAGAGGATGTGTTTACGTATAAGAGGATGTTTGATATCATTCTTATTGGGTCTAGTAAAAGACTGGATCAACTTGTTCATAATCAAACTGTTTTATACCATAATTAGAAGCTTTTAATTCGATGATATATTTTTAGTATGTCTTTTACTATGACCGACTCAACTAAGCATTGATTTGATCGATCTTACTCAATCAACAACTCGATTCATCTCACTCAATCAACAACTATCAAACAATCTTTAATATTTTCAAATAATATACATATAACATTTTTCAAATAATGCACATATGATTGATTCCTTGACCCTAACTTTAGGAAAAATAGAGTTAGTTAAAAATGGAGAAAAATGCACATATGATTGATTCCTTGACCCTAACTTTAGGAAATAGAGTTAGTTAAAAATGAAGAAGGAATTGCAATTATATTCTTACTCTTGGTTCCATTATATCAGGAAAAATGTTTTTTTTTTTTTTTTTTTTTTTTTTTTTGTGATTGGTAACCAAGTAGTAATTACAAATTGTTCTTTACACAAAGAAGATACAAAATTTTCCATTACCCAAAATACAAAATTGTATAAAACTTGCTACAGTTCTTCACAAAGTGGGGAAGCTCTTCTTGAATTTGATCCTATGTTCTTCTTCAAGTCATACCCTAATTTCATGCGAGTAGTTCTTGTAGCTGTAAATCCTGTTGCAAACAAAAATCATAACGTATTCAAGTCAGTGGTATTAATTCAACGTCATCCTGTTTGATCATTATGATCACATGCACATGAACACAAACCGTTGATCCCATTTCGAGATCCGGAAGACGAATATCAGTAGAATAGAAAGACATCTTAGCAATCTCTGATATCGCAGCTTCTCTCACCTCTGCCACATCACCGGACAAATCCTCATAAGCAGCCACAAACGCCGCCTGCCAGAACGGTTGCAATTTGATTCGCCGGTCATTGATATACGCATCCCACACATGCTTCACCGCCTTCTCCCGCGCCTCGATTTCCTACTCAAAACGAACAATTAGATCAATCAATCAATCAAATTAAAAACACAAATCGGTAAGGGAAAAAACGGACAATGATGTCGAAATCGTCGAGGATAAGGGAGCCAGCGGCGATGTCGTCGGAGAAGTTGTTGAGATTGCCGGCGGAAAAGCGAAGAGTAACGGTGCTTGTAAGAATTGACGAGAGAGCAAGGAGGATAATGGCGATGAGTGCCAGGAACTTGTAGCGATTTCTACCGAATACTCTGGAATCAAGGGTTTCGTCTGGGTGATTAACACTCATTTTATCGACGATTTGAACAGAAGAGTAGACCTGAAGTGTATGAATTCGAAATCGAACTTGTTTGATCGAAACAAATTGTTGTTGTAGAGTGTTAACTGAGCTTATAATCAGAAATGGGTTTTGAACGGGTGTTGTGTTGACATACCAACTAACGATTTGTGCTCAGATAAACATGAAATGATTGAAGGAGACGTGCTCCAGAACTGTGGCTTTGAGGCTGCCATGACTTCAAGGAAAAGAAAAAAAAAAAAAAAAAAAACTCGTTCCAACATATGGATACTAAAAACAATATTTTAATAATAAAAAATGGAAATGAAAAACAAAGATTTAGAAAATTCAGTTAAATTATATAGTATATTGGATATTTTTTGAAAATTAAGAGGTACAAATATTATTACATCATGTACAATCCTTTTAGCTTAATATTAACATCCCCAAAAGAAACTCAAACACGCTCCTTTTCTTCTGAAACCCCTTTCTTTCTAAACCCTAGATCTTCTCCATCTACTTCTCTAACAATGAAGAATAAGCTACCACCACGAAACGGTGTTACCTGTTTATTTCTCCGCCACCACCACCCATTCTCCGCCGTTGCACCACTGACCGCCAGCTGCACTTACATCTCCTCTGTCTGCCACCATTTTCAATCGTTGCTACCATAAGAAGAACCAAGAAGGCTTCTATGTACATTTTTTACACATAAATCTTAACTATCTGTTACATCACAACCAAATCTTATTGATTTATACTTTCTCCTTTCCAATAAAACTTGATTTTGATTTTTAGTTTTAGTAAAAGAGTAACTTTGAAGGAGAACAAGATATGAGTTCTATGAGAGGTTTGAATTTCTTTGCTTTCCTACCCTGTATCTAAACTCACACCCATATGTGTGCTTCAATTCTCAGTCTCAGATTTGAATCTCTCTTTTTTGCTTCATTGTTCAATCTCATATTCGATCTTATGAATTTTTTTTCCTTTAGTTTTAATTTTGTTTAATCAATTCTAAGTTTTTATCAGTCTTTGTGCTTCAACTCTCAGCCTTAGATTCAATCCCGTCTCAGGTTAGAACCTTCAAGGGAATATGTTTCTTGCTGAGCATTGGTAATGATCTGTTTCTATCTATATATTCTTAAGATATAGTCATTATTGATAAATTCTTTATTTTCATTTACATTTAATCTATCATTAATGATGTACAAATGTTTGCTGAAAATCATCTATTCTTCTTGGATTTTCTTTGACTATACCTCTCATGGTAATAAAAAGACATGTTGCTAACTCAAAGGTTTACTCTACATAGTATGAATGGGTTGTTGATTTAGTTCAATTCACACACACATCATGACATTCTTAATTGATGGTGTTGTAGAATTTTATATGATATTTGTTGTTTTTTTTTTGCAGGTTACATACTTTTTCTTCATGAAACCTACACATTTTCCCCCTGACCAGAATTGACATATATTTTACTTAAAGAGTTATCTTTATGATTTTGCTCCCAAAAAGAATTATCTTGCTATTTTAGTTATTCTTTTTAAGCTTATTCAAAGTTTTGATCCATGTTACAAATAAAAAGTTTGTCTTTGGGGCTGTGTAGGTTAGGGTGGTGGTGCCATATAAACCTAATAAAAATAAAAGAATGAAATTAATGTTCATAAAAGGTGTATGTTTAGAGTTCCTGAAGGTGATTAACTATATAACTTTTCACTAATTTTTTTCTTCGTTTGGCTTGGTTGTAGGTTTTAACATTGATTTCTCATATATAAATTTGATGAATTCAAGTTATTTAATGTACAAGCTTCAATGGTTAAGTTGATTTCTTAATTTTTGTGACCATCTAAAGTCAAAAGGAAAATGTTGGGGTTGCTTTAATTGTACTCTATATTTTTAATGTTTCTATATATTTAATTATCTCATACATTAAAAGAGAGTTTTTGGATGATTTTTCGTTCATTGATGATCCCTGTAGGTATGAATGTAAAACAACTAGAGTTTGGTGCTCCATTTTACTGGTTTGTTAATTAATCCTTTAGTTGGTCATTTTGGACAAATTTCCACTGATGCAGGTAGGTAGTAAATATTGAAGCTGCTTATTACTTATTGCGTTTGGAGTTTGGTAATAGTGAAATGTATAAGCTCTTGATAGTTTGGTTAGTTCCTACCTTTGTTGAGGGATAATTTTGCATTTATTGACGAATTTACCCTTGATCCGGACATGCCCCTAAAGTGAGTAATATCACTCTTCTCATCTGGTGTTGCACACCAGTTCAATGACATACCTGGTTAATATTTATCTCATAGTTGCTTACATTGGTTTTTCATTCAAGTAATTTATTTTATATTCATTTCCTACTCATTTGTGTTCATTTATTAGTTGTGAATCTGATATTGTTTTCCAGTTGAATGGAAACTGATAACTGACGACGGGCCTTAATCTCATTCGCAACTTAGAAGTAAGTTTTATGTAGGGCCTCTCAAGGTTTGCCGCAGGTGTTGGCGTGTACATATATATATATATATATATATATATATATATATATATATATATATATATATATATATAAGTTGTTATGATTTAGCTTCAAATCCATTTTTTTAATATCTCGTAGCTAGCAATGGTCATTGAAGCAAGAAGTTTTGAATGCAATTAAATTTGGCTTTGTTGTTTGTTGAATAATAAGATGAACTGGGAAAAGGGCAAAACAATCATTTATATTTATATACATATTAATTTCGTGTTCCTCTAAGCACAGTATTATGTTCTTATAGGTCTATTTTTTTTAATGTGTTTTAACCCCTAAGCAGCTTGAGAACCTTCTGGAATAAGGCCTCCTTGGACGAAATTAGAGTGGGCTTCCACTCCTAATTTCGTCCCCTTTATATCCAAGAGAGTTCACAACCCAAAACCAACTATCACACAATTGATAATTCCAGTCCTTTTATTTAATTAATCTCTTGTAGTCACAAAATTAATTCTTAATTAATTGTTGACTAATATTAGTTAAACTATATGATTTCTCATTTAATATATTATTCATATAATATATTAATAAACCATAATAACCTTTCTCTTTCCGTAAATCATCCTGTCAAGTTGCTTTGGTAAAAGCAACCCAAAAGGGCCATGCATAACCAGGTCAAGTACATACCAAATATAGTTATGGGCTTAGACACTAATCCAACAAGATTAACATGCAAATTTGTCAATTTTACTATAGTTGGAAAACATAATGTTTATTGGTTTAATTAATCGATTAATTGTTTAATTAAAACATCAAGGAATTAGATCTTGTTAATTGAATGTATTAATTATTGGTATTGCATCCTTGCGTATCCAATTAAAATTAATAGACATAAAACTTAGATGGTTTAAATTACGTTATATGTATGGTAAAATTGTCTGTGAGTGTCTATATATATATATATATATATATATATATATATATATATATATATATATATATATAATATATATATATATATATATATATATATATATATGACAAAACTACAAACATTGCGTCATTGCATGTTTGAAAGCATTGTCGGTCTCACCGCGACTAGGCTCACCTACTATTAATTATTGGTATTGCATCCTTGCATATCCAATTAAAATTAATAGACATAAAACTTAGATGGTTTAAATTACGTTATATGTATGGTAAAATTGTGTGTGAGTGTCTATATATATATATATATATATATATATATATATATATATATATATATATATATATATATATATATATATATATATATATATATATATATGACAAAACTACAAACATTGCGTCATTGCATGTTTGAAAGCATTGTCGGTCTCACCGCGACTAGGCTCACCTACTATAAAACGCTAAAAAGGAAGGCTTAAGGTGATCTCTCCGATTCCGAATGAGGTTGGGTCTTAAGTAACATTTAGTATTAGCATGATAAGTATTAATATCTAATCATGTTTTATACAATGTGAATCTTATGCTTCCCATATAAATTACGTCTTGTCGTATATTCTTTTTGGAATTATGCATGTGTGGTTTACCGGCACATTAAGTAAGAATATTATTGAAGTAAGGTATATGGTAATCGTGATTCTCAAGTGTTACTTGAGCCGAACTAAAACATCCTAAAAATACGGTCCAAAATTTTCATTTTAAATAATTATAAAATCATAGTAATCCAATTATCACATAAAAAACATAAGTGGTAATATCTCAAAACATCATGTCAAAACACTATATCCAAATAATATATCAAAACATCATAGTAAATCCTCCTAGATTAAAACGTTGTGGTGTGTGCAATGCGGTCATCCCGAGTCCTTCCCTTTGCTACCGGAAGTACCTGAAACCAAAACTGTAAACTGTAAGCATGAAGCTTAGTGAGTCTCCCCAAACTACCACATACCATACACATAGCATATAACATAAAGCTAGGGGATACGAGCCTCGCCCACACTCAAGGAGATACGGACCCCTACCCATACTCGCTAACTATGAGTTACGGGCCTCGCCCACACTCAGTTATCTCAGAGATACAGGCCTCACCTACACTCTACTAACTAGGAGATACGCGCCTCACCCACACTCTGCTATCCGGAGGATACGGGCCCCTACCCACACCTCGTTACCTAAACATACATACAAGTATCACATATACAACAAGTAAACCAAAATCTACCAATTCATAAACGTACTTTGATGATACTAAGATACGGGCCCTATCCACACTTAGCTACTAATCATAAACAATTCTTAGATACGGGCCCAACCCACACTTAACTACTAATCATAAACAATTCTAAGATATGGGCCCAACCCACACTTAGCTACTCTACACGGGCTGGCCTTGGTGCCTTCGACCCATTCCAATTGAAGGAAACTCACCTCGCAAAGCTAGATGTGAAATCTCATGGTGAGAAATCTCTGGCGGCTGCTCCAACAACTTCTCGACTATCATTATCACAATAACAATTAGTCAAAATTTGATAATCCTGCTTAGCGTGAAATGACCATTTTACCCCTGGTAAAAGTCAACATTCTGGTCAAAGTCAACATCTTGGGCTGATTCAACTCACCGAGTTCTAGAATTCAAAACACTGAAATCGTGATCCAACTCGTTGAGTCATCCCCATGACTCGCCGAGTTCCCTCTCCACTCATATTCATGATTTGGCGAATCAACTCGCCGAGTCCCTTTGCAGAATCGTCGCGCTCTACCTTGTACAACATCGGGACAAAACGACTCAACTCGTCGAGTCCCTCTCTGGACTCGCCAAGTTTCTTAGTCTATTTGAGCCATCTTAAAGGATTAAGCCCCTACTCTTCAGATCCAAACTCCATATTTCATCTAGATACTGGAAATGCCCTTTTAAGGGTAGAGTTTCCAACTTTACCCGTTATTAGTCCTTCTTAATGGGATTAGCAAAAACCCTAGTTCTCTAGGACATATATCTTGGTCCAAAAGCCATAATTCTCCAAACTAAAGCATACTAGCATAGATCTAGGCCTTAGACATCATTTGCACACGTAAAGCTCCTAACTTTCCTTCCATGCACGGCCTTTTAGGGATTAAAAGGCCATAATAACACCTTAAATCTTGCATGGGGCTTCCATGGTCATAAAGTTTGTACCTTTTTGCCATGAAACCCCTTTTAGAACATAGATCTAAAACGTAAATCACTTGGGATGTCCATAT